GGGGGGGCTGGATAGTTTAGGTACGCAGCTGCAGTGTTGCCGTGGGGGCGTAGGGGACGTTTCGGGGAATGTAATTGATGATGTTGTGAATGTTTTGTGGGGTGTCGGGTGGTCACATGTCTTGCATCATGGATGGCGGGGAGGCTTGATCGCTGCGCTGTGCACCTGAGGCTGATGTTGTGTAGTATTGTATGTCAACTATGATTAAATATATATATCTATATGTGCATGGTCATGGGGCATGGAGTGTAGTGTGGGAGTGGAGTCGGGGGATTTGTAATAGATATGTATGATATTGGGGGAAAATGGGGCAGCAGATTGGGGGAGGGGGGTTGTCACTTCGAGGGGTAAAAATTATAACTATTGCACTGTGTTGTACAGCTGAAACTAATTCTTAAAAATGCATATTTCATAATAAAAATAAATTAATAAAAATAAATAAATAAATAAACAAAACCAAAATTATGAATTACTGATAAACATTTTAAATGTGAAAATAATTTAAGCTAGTAGTATGCTCATCTTCCAATTTTGTATCAGTCTTACAAATAAATTACATATATAACTTGCTTGCCCTCCCTTCTAAGGGTAAAAGGTTTACAACAATGTAAGAATTATAAGAATTAAATTCTTATAGTCAGCATTCTTGACTATTCAATCCAGGGGTAAATTATTAGCTGCTCCTAGGTAAGTGAGCCCATAACTACTATATGTGCAAGGACATGAGTTTATCCAACAATGTGATCTTTCCTTTTATTAATGTGCACAGTGGAATAATAGGCATGTTCATTCTGGACCTATAAATGTATATATATAAATAAATATATATAATCAATCAATTTTCAGAAGCACAGTGTTGAAGACAGCGTAGCTCCATAGCAATCTGAAGTGTCCGTTTGAACTCCTATTAGTAGCAACTTATTCTAAATGTGAAGAATTTAGTCTCCACTGGCAGGAAAATATTGATATCAATGATGGTAGTCGATACTTTCAGAGCATATAAATCTTACTGAATCCACACAATATAAAATTACAGAAAGGAAGAAAGGTGCCCTAGCTAATCTTTAGTCTCTCTTCACACAGGGCGGGAAAATGACATGGCCCAGTTACTGCCTAATATACTAAGGAAAACTAAAACAACTCCAAGACCCCTCTTCTCTGCTGATGTGGTTGGTGGTCCTTTTGTCTTTTTCCCACCTCCTGCCTGTGGATTTTCTGTAATGCCCAGATACAAACAATGGAAAACAATTAAGATGGCTCTATAGTTTGTGTCACATTACTCACAATGTTGCAGAATGAAACCTCCAAACTGATTGGCTCCACTTTTTGGTGGTTACAAAGAATAATTCTGGTCTACAATGATTAATGTCAGTCGCCAGTTGATAAAAATGATAGGGTTGTGGACCAAAAAAAAACTGCACTATTTTATCAATTCTGTGAAAATTATTGGCAGGGTAAGATTTAAGTCAAGATTTAAATCCTGTATTAACAGGATTACATTTTTAGCACTATCATTGTGAAATTCAGAAGGTATTATCCACAGAATGTATATCTGATGTTTCACATTAATTTTCAAAAATCCAGAAGCTTGTTCTTAGTTTAAGTATCCAATTTACCCTGGTAGTTCAATGTTAGATACAAGCAGCATGGGTTAGATCAAGCATATCTGGGGTCCAATTTCATCTAAGTGGTGTTGGGCTAGTTTCTTCACCAATCTGTGCCTCCAAGGTCATACTAGTGTTTATCTACCTCATAGAGTACCCGTTATATAATTTGGGGGCAATTACATTCCATAATGGCTATAAAATACTTACCTCAATGCCTAAGACATAGTAAGTGCTAAATAATTATCCACTATTGTCACCACTAACTTAAAAATGGAGATGCTAAGAGCAAACTCTGGGGCCAAATAACTTAGATTCAAATCTTAACATTGCTGGGGATCTTGGGCAAGTTACTTAACCCCTCTGAGCCACACAAATTTTTTTATAAATATCAAACCAGTTAACATATGTAAAGGGCTTGGAACAGTAACCAGCACATAGTAAGCAACTATTTAAGTGTTTATTTCTAACGCACACACAATTTTAGGGAAGGAAATAAAGGAACAGGGATTTGCAAACCAAAAACACAAACAAAACTAACACCATTCAGTTCTGAAAATAATAATTCACCCTATGCTGGGAATGGCATCATACCCCAAAGCTAAAAGCATCTAACTTCCTTAGCAACTGAATAAAAACAACAGCCCCCACCATTCTTTGAGTACCTACTACTAGCATAACATTTAAGTGCATGGGCTCTTAAGAGAGTCCTAGGTTTGAGTCTGAGCTCCTCTTAATAACTGCGTGTCATGGGTATGCCATGTTGAGGTTAAATTACTTACCCTCTTTGAGCCTTCAAAAATTCCTCCTCTGTAAAATGGTAATAATCATACTATTTTACAGGGTTATCTGGAGAACTAAATAGGACTATGTAATAAACACAATGGTAGTAGCTATTATTACTATTCCTAGTCAGGGACTGCCCAAAGGTTGTTTATTCACATAAACCTCCTTATAATGCTTTCAATAGCCATGAGCAGCTAGCACTTCAGTTACCCCTAAAAAAAAAAAAACAAAGGGGAAGTAGAGTTTGTTTACCATTGCAAAATATGCCTTTTTGGATAATATTTTAAGCTGCTTATTTTCAAGAAACAAAAGGCTCAGGGAAAACCTCTGACTTCCCTCAACTGCCTAAAAGAATTTAGATAGAGGGCCTTCTCCAAATAGGGAGCTATCATCATATACAGTTTACTATGAACTAAGTGAGATAGACAAAAAGGAACCTACCAACGCCCCTTTGACCCATGTTCTCTGAGTCCCATTGTTAAAGATAGCCCAGCAAACATTTATTTACCAAACATTGGCTTTTCCATCTCCCAAACCACAACTCCCCCTTCCCCTTAGCTATAGATGGCATATCAGCCTCAACTGCCTGTCCTCATATTCATATTCTTATGGAACCTTCATATGTACACAGGTACTAAATTTGGTCGTGTTCTCCTGTTACTCTGTCTCATATTAATTTAATTAGTAATCCAGCCAGAAGAACTTAGAGGGGTAGAAGGAAAATTATTTATCCTCCCCCAGAAACGCGCAGTAAGTTGCCCAAGGCCACACAGCAGGATTCCCAGCCATTAAGAACATTGCTCTTTGGGCCGGCCAATGGCACTTTGGTTAGGAGCTGGCTTACGACGCCAGCGCTGAGCAGCAGAGCACCGGTTTGGATCCCACATGGGGGCGAGTGATGCTGTGCCGTCTACAGCTAAGATGGTTAACAACAGCTCGACCTGGAACTGGGCTGCCGTGAGTCGCCAGCAACGGCTAGGCTGCAGTGAGGCTGGCCAGCAGTGGGCGTGAGCTTTCATGAGCTGCTGTGAGCCACCATGAACAGCCATCCAGTGGCCGGGGAGCGACTGCCTCACCCGGGAAGAGCACAAGGATAATACCAAAATGGGCCAGTGAAGCGACGTCCTCCACAACTAGACTGAAGAACAAAAGAACAGCAACTTGTCTGTTCCCCTTCCCCGATTCCCCAATAAAATCTTTTTTTTTTAAATTGCTCTTTACCTTAAGTCACAATGCCTAATAAGAAATAGAATCCTTTTTTTTAGGGCTCAAGTGAAGTGGTTAATTTATTCATTCAACAAACCATTATTGAGAGTTTCTTAAATGCCAGACACTGTACTATGAGCTGGGGTTACAGGGGTGATTCCTGCCCTTGTAAAGTTTATGTTCTAGAAGGAGACAATCAACAGGTAACCGGGTAACTCTTAAAATAATGATGATGACGATGCAAGCTAAGGCATTTAATGGTTTAAAGGGGGTTGGCTACGTTAGCAAGCATGATGAGATAGGTGAGAGGGGAGGGAGAGAGTATCTGGCTTGTTCCAGAATCAAGAAAAAGAACCAATGAGGTTGGAGACAGGACATGAGAGGCTGGTTATGATACGAATGTCCTTGAAGATAAGGACTAGATTCGCATTTTTTGTCTCCGGCTGCATCAAACAGCATGGGATTCGGATTCAAGAATATCTGAATTCGAGGCCTGCTACCTCTGGGCCGGCAAAATCACCTAATATAATTTCACTATTTCCTTCGTGATTGAAACGATAGGCGTGGTTACCGCTGCCAAGGCTGCGGTGTGGTGTCAATGAGGCGCAAACATGTATTATCATATTTGCAGAACTAGATGAAAATACCAGTCCCCACGTACCCTCCTATATGGTAGTTTCCGTGCCCAAAGGCCCTCACCGCCATCCCACAAATGTACAGAGAAGGGCTTCTCCCCTGCCCCGCCAGATCATTCCCGAATTAGCCCACCGTCACAGGGCACTCGCAAGCGGCGCAAGTCGACCCACACGCCATTTCCCCAGCGGCTCTTCCCACAGCGTTTCCAGGACTCCCCAGAGACGGCACCCCCCCCCGCCTCGCCATTCCGTCTCCCCGCCGCCCGGGTGTGACGTAAAGCCGAACCCCGGGAGCTGCCGCCGCCTCCAGCCCCCCGGCTTCCCCGGACCACCTCCGGCAGGAGCCCGCACTGCGGGCCCCGCGCCACACAGGCTGGCTGCTGTCACCCCGGGCCTGGCGGGCCAAGCTGCTCACCACAACGCTGGGGCTGCTGGTCGCCATAACGGAACCGGCGGGCGCGTGGGCTGAGAGCAGTCTGAAGAGGAAGAACCCGGCGTGGGGCCGAGGAAAGGGCGGAGGCGCGGCAGGAGGCGGCACTCCGCGGAGAAGCCTAGCGATCTGTGAAGCTCTCCTCGCTGCCGCTTGAAGCTGAGGGGCAGGCTCCGCCCCCACACCCAGCCCCGCCCCCCGAGGCTCCGCCCACACGCCCGCCCCGCGCGCCTCCAACTGCCAGTTTCCACGTTCGTGAGGCGGCCGCGTGAATTTTCTTGCGGAAGAAGCTGAGACGACTCCGATGCAGCCTCTACTCCTCTTTGCCTCAGTCTCCCTTTCAGGTGGCTTCCAAATTTCCAAACCTATTGCTGCCTGCGCTTCTTCCTAGTGGCCATAAACTGGGAGCCGGCTTTTCAGGGTCCAGTCACCACGTAGTTCCACTCGCCCAGCGTCCCCTTCCCAAGACCTCGGACTACACCGCGGCTTCCATTTTCCTGACTTGTTGCCCAATTCTAACAAAGATCTAACTGGTCGTCGGAGTTGAGACCTAGACCTAGAGCCAACCAGATTAGAGTACGAATCAAAGGGGAACACTTAACCGCCCTGTGACCTTGTGCTAATCAGACTTTCTAAGCCTCTATTTTCACCTCAGTAAAATGAAGGTATTGAGAGGATCCTTGTGAAGATTAAAGTATATGATATAGGTATCTGTGTGTGCATATCTATATATTATTAAAGAGCAAAATTCAACTTAACAAATTTGGAGATCTAATTGGCTTTATTAAGCAATCCTTGAACCTGGCAGCGTCCCACTAGCAACTAAAAGGGTTCTCCAATTAGTAGTATAAAATGAAGGTTTTTATAGACGGAAAGAGAGTGGGACTGTGAAGTTAGGAGATGATTATTTCAGGCAAGGTCACCTTCGCTTAGAAGGCTGGAAGGGTCTAATCAGGCAGTTTACCTCCCTAATGATCAGGAATTTCCAGACTGATGGGTTTAACATTTCATTCCTGGGAGAGGCTGAAACTTCAATTAGGTTACTTATTAAGTTTTGTTTGGTGATGTGGTTTAGCAAAAGTGACTCCATTTTGGCCTGTTTCCAATTTACATGGTACAGCACTTTTTAAAACAATTTATATGGTACAACATTAGGACAGTGCACAATCAGTAAATGGGAACTATTGCTACTACTTATCTTTATTTTTGCCTCCACAATTCCCTATATGGAACTGGGGGGGGGGAATCTTCTCCTGCTCACAAATAGGTCAGGTAAGCAAAGAACAGTTGTTTCATTTCTAATGTACTCATCTGTGTAGCTCCAGTACCCACTACAGTGCCTAGCACATAGTCAGCGGCCTCCATTAAGGCTAGTGAGGGATATGGAATGGTAGATTTCTGAAACTGAGCAAGTCATTTAACATCCCTGAGCCTCCGTCTCTTCATCTGAAAAACGAGGATAGTAATTCTTGCTGTCAAGGGTTATTAAAATTATAAAAAATCATTTCTATAAAGCACCTAGCATAGTACTTGCCACATAGTAGGTGCTCAAAATATAGTCGTGGTTATTAATTTTAGCACGTATGAATGTGTGAACTCCATACTTCCTTAGTTTCTCTGCCTTCCCTGTCTATCATGGAGAGGCAACAGACTATAACGGGAAAGGTACATGTGGCCTTAGGACTAAGATTTGAATTCAAATTCTGAGTTCACCACTAACTAGTGTCATGGCCTTGGGCAGCATCCTTGACCTCTGTGTACCTAGGTTTCCTCTCATGTTAAATGAGGATAATATCTCCATCACAGGTGAGGATTGAGCAAAATAATGCAAAAGAGCCTAGCATAGTGCTGGTTTCAGTAAATGATAATATCAGTGTTAGGTGTTCCATATTTTTGCCTTAAACAATTCTTCACTCTATTTATCCTTCTAGACTCTACGAACTCTTATCCATTCTCCTACTGATGGACATATGGGCAGTTTCCAGGTTTGTGCTGCTATGAACATGTTTTACATATCTTTTGGTGAACGTATGAATGCATTTCTATTGGGTATAGACTTTGAAGTTCATATCTGCACATTTTTATTGCTTATCCTTTTAACAAACATGTGTTCCACTGAGAAGTTAATTAGAGAACTTCCAGTTATACATTCGGACTGTGACCCTTGTGGAATCAGCTACCCACATTTGTTTCTAAATTAAATACTTCAGAACCCTTCCAGCTTGCTTATGGCTTGCAGTTTCTTTCTTCAACCGCTGTGGTACCACATACTCCTGTATTTGCACAGAGATTTGAAATAAACAGTGACAGACTGGTGATTGTAAAGACAAAAAGACAGTACTATTATTTCAATCCTGTCTTTCTATGTGACAACTTGGAGCTTTTATTTGTGTTTAAATTTTAAAACTGCAAAGAGAGTGCAAACTGCAAGACATAATACTTTTGTTTGGTAAGTGAAAATCTGGTTCATATATGAAATATTTTACTAAATATATTTAAAATTGAAATGTATTCTTTTATAATTTTAATTGTTTTACAATTAAAGATGAAATCAAGGGCCGCCGAGTGGCACATTGGTTAAGAGCTGGCTTGGGATGCCAGAGGGCCCCGGTTCGGATCCCACATATGAGGGCCAGTGACACTGCCCTCTGCAGCTAAGATGCTGAACAACAGCTCAACTTGGAGCTGGGCTGCCGTGAGTCACCGGTGATGGCGTAGGCTGCAGCCCCTGCTGCAGTGGGTTGCCATGGGCTACCGTGTGGCCAGCAGCCAGCGTGAGCGGCCAGCAGCCGCGGTGAGCGGCCGTCCAGAAGCCGGTGACTGATCTGCCTCGCCCGGGAAGAGCGCAATGATGGTGCCAACTTGGGCCAGTGAAGCAACGTCCTCCACAACTAGACTGAAGAGCAAAACGACAGCAACTTGTCTGTTCCCCTTCCCCCAATTCCCCAATAAAAAAAAAATCTTAAAAAAAAAACTTAAAAAAAAAGATGAAATCAAGAAAATAATGGTTATTATTATTATTATTATTACAGAAAAAAACTTGTCATAGACAAAATAATTTTGTCATTTTTTTTGTTGTTGAAAAATGATCTACTCTAGGTGTCAAATATGGTAGGTATGCCATTGTTCTTTACTGGAATATCTGTATTTAGGAAGAAATAAGGAAAGCATGAATATAACCCAAAATTCCCCTTCCTCACTCCTGCCTTTCCAGAATCAATTTCGTAGTTTGTTTAGACACAAGAGGAATTATTTGTGCACCACGACAAATTCTGAGTATATTTCTTCTCCACATGTTTCTTCATTTAGTAATAACCTTGTTTTTACCCTGGTGCTGTGCTCCACCAAAATCTATTTCTATGGAAAAAAATATCACTGCAAAATACTTATCCTAAATGTTGAATTTTTAAACCGAATTTACAGTTTTCTCAATAATGTCAGATATTTCACTTTCATCAGAATAAATTTCCATAAACTTTACCTTGATTCCATGAATTGGATAAAAAACTGAACCATCATAGGAATTTACTAATGTGATGGTTAAGTTTATGTCATCTTGGCTCGGTCATGGTGCCCAGATATTTGGTTAAACATTATTCTGGATGTTTCTGTGAATGTGTTTTTTGGATGAGATTAACATTTAAATCAGTAGACTTTGACTAAAGCAGTTAACCTGACATAATGTGGGTGAGCCTCATCCAATTATTTGAAGGCCTGAGTAAAACAAAGGCCAACCTCCGCTGAGCAAGAAGGAATTCTGCCAGCACACTGCCTCAGAATGGAGCTGCAACTCTGAGTCTCCAGCCTGCCGGCCTACACTATCAGATTTTGGACTCACCAACCATCCACAATTGCATGAGCCAATTTCTTAAAATTTCTCTCTCTCTCTCTCTCTCTCTCTCTCCACACACACACACACACATACCATGTTAGTTCTGTTTCTCTGGAGAATCCTGACTAATGCAACTGATTTCCTATTTTAAGCATATATTGATATCAATATAAAACTGGCACCATTGAACTGTGTGAAGTTCTAGTAGAGGTACTTATTAAAAGCTATCGCTTCACCTTCTGTTGTATACAAGGAAATTTGAAATAAAAAATGATCAATGAATTTTGTAGAAAAGTCAGTTGATCTAAACAAAAATCACTCACAGAGCAATGTGTAAATAAATATCCTTTCTACAGCTGTTAAACCATCGTCTTGGGGTGCAGTCTTCTTAAAACAAATGCAAACCTTTGAGGTAGATGATGATGTTGTCTCTACAGATTTATGTCTTCTGGTTTCGTGTGATCAGTGATATCAATATCCCTGCACGTGTGGATGATAAATGTCAACACAAGTTTTGTTCATGTTACACATTCATGATCAATTTTCTTGAGTGACAAACTGGGTGTTTAATTTTTAATTAATGATGCACTTTAGTTTTTGAACTCACATGCTGAAAGGTTGGATTGCAAATTGAAAATAACAAAGGGTTGTAGATTTGCACCATATGATGAATGACATAGCCACTGTACGAAGAGCATTCAGACTACTTGCTGCATGTTCTATGGCAGGACTCCTTGGCCTCTATTTCCTGAATATATTGACGTACATGTAAATGTACATAATTCCCTACATCCACTGGCCTAGCAACTGATGGCCTGGCATCTTCATATATCTTGCAGGCTTTTGCATGGGCACACCTGTTGGCCTACCCAGTGTCCAGCAAGGGACACAATGGTGAATACTCCTCCCCTCCCCCATACCCAGAACAAGAATGAACAAGAATGAGTCTGTTGTCTCTAAATCTTAGCCTCTGAGTACACTTGACTTATCAGAGAACAGCCAGCATGCTGTCCTTGAGAGGGAGATGTTAAGTTATATTGTAGTGGAAAACATTAGGAAAAAGGAGAAGGGTTGTTGTTTAGATTTCTAACTCTGTGCTGACGTGAGAACTTGGTTCTCTGTATAAGCATCTCACAAATTAGCAGAGGAGACAAAGGCAGAATCGGGAATTAGAAAGTGGTGGTTCAACAGACCCATCCTGGCTTATTTCAATTCAACTGTTACTACTTACACTTCGTGGGAAAATGGAAAATCTGGGACAAATGCTAAATTGGACAAGCCGGGATAACAGACATACATTGGGGCTATCCAGGGCGAACTGGAATATATAGTCCCGCTACAATGG